AATGCTGTCCTTGATTCTGCTACCTAAAGCAGATACTCCAAAGATACTCTAAAAGACAGAAGACCTGCCAGTAAGATGGGAATCAGTAGCTCAGGGTTGTCTGTCTGTTTTCCGGGGAAAGGCTGTTTATGTGTTTTGTTTCTAAAATAGCTTACTTTTTCAGAGGAATGTTATTCCTTTCTAATCCGTAGAGGAGAACATTTATGTGGTCTAAGAGGAAATTTATAGAAATCAGCCCAAACACAGGCAGTTTCAGAATGTAATTCTTTAACAGCCTTTCTTCTTGTAAAATTTAGACTGCCTGATTATTCTGGCATTATCCGGATGATTTAAGTATAAAATACAACTTAAAGATGATAAAATGCTGAGCCAAGAGAAGATGACCATAAAACTAGGAAAGCCAAAGCAAGACTCCAGGCAAAGCAGGAAGCTATTACATTCAGAGCACACATTAAGCTAACGGCAGCAAAACAGCAACAAGACGTTTCTAGAATAAATTGTCACCTCTGATCCATGTTTCCAGAAACACGAAGGCTAAGTGTGCTAGCACTCATCCTTGGAATGCAACAGCCTGGAAAATCCTTAGTCTAATGTGATCATTTTGTCAATTTGACAACAAATTTTGGCCTCTGCCTCTAAGACGGCTACTCTAATATCAACAAATGAATACCTATTTCTCCTCTAAAAATCAAAACACCTAAGATTCAGGGAGAGAGCTACCCATGGGACATTTTAAGCTGTGTCAGGATTAGATTCTAATAGTCTAAAAAGTAATGAAAGCCGTTACAGTTACAGTTAGGATTCTCTAAGTTTTCTTTAAAAAAAAGTTTTTAGGGGACTGGCCTGGTGATGCAAGTGGTTAAGCGCGCGCATTCCACTGTGGCAGCCCGGGGTTCGCCGGTTCGGATCCCGGGCGCGCACCGATGCACTGCTTGTTAAGCCATGCTGTGGCAACATCCCATATAAAGTGGAGGAAGATGGGCATGGATGTTAGCCCAGGGCCAGTCTTCCTCAGCAAAAAGAGGAGGATTGGCAGATGTTACCTCAGGGCCGATCTTCCTCACACAAAAAAAATTTTTTTAGAACTTTAGTATAATTAGAATATAATTACTGTATCTGCTTTTTCTAGAATTATCTTTAGTCAATAACTCAGGAACTGAGTGATTTCTCATCTTCCACTCAAAACCCCCATCGACAAAGAGAGTACTAATCTTAAAAAACATTAAAATCCTTTAGTCAAAACAAGAAGCAATTACTATAACTAAAAGCACAGTCAGGAAGGTTATGACAGGGGAGCACTTTCATGTATCCTACTTATTCAACGATTTAATCAAATTTAGTTACAAGTTAAAACATGGTTTTTCTAACTGTCAGCAGTATTCAGGCTAAACCTTGGCATTTGAAAGTCAAATTTCCAGCCCTTACTTAACCCCATTCTGGCCTTTCCTCACTCTAAGATAAAGTATGGTTGTGAAAAACAAACTCCTGTTTTTGCTATATACAACAGAAGATAGAGGGCAGTACAGTTATTTCATTTTCATTCCTTATAAATTTCAGCCCAAAATATATAAACAGTGAATCAGCACTATATGGCTAATAAAAATAAATATGTGAACTTAACTAATATAGACAAAGAATGGTAAAAAGGAAAGAACACAAAAAAATGATATAAACACCAACCAAGTAAAGTTATTTAACTGCTATGTATATGTCTACACATGGTTTGGAAGAGAATGAAGCATGGTAAAAACAGTTGAAGTTGTCAACGAAAAGGATTTTTCTTTTTCCATATAGCTGTGCAAAAAACATATTTTTTTTAAAAAAGGTCCAAACTACAGAATCCCTTAAGTATAGAAAGTATTTGAAAGCTTTGAACAAGAGCCAAGGAACTATCTTTAGAACTTCATGTTGATACTATGTTCTTACAAAGATTGAAAAAAGTCTTGAAAATACAATAAAATAGAAGGGAAATGTGCATTTCAAGTGCAGATAGTCGTTTTCTATACCAACAATTTCTTAAGAACTCTGAATGCTTCACTGTAACACAAAAGACCAATAATGTCTCTAAATGACTGCAGACTAAAAAGTAACTTCTGGCTAGAAGAGGGAGGCTAGGAAAATTTATCCCTGAAAGAATGAAAACCCCATTTTCTCTGGCAGCTTCATTTAGATTCTTTTTCGGCACAAAAGTTGGAAATTCTTGAAATGGTGGATATCTCAGTATTTTGTTGCACTTTGCTGCAGTAGGAGAAAAATTATTCCCTAATTTACATAGCTTTATGAAATAGAGAACTATTTTGATAGCTTTGTCAGCATTTCTAAATTCTAACCAAATGTCTTCTAATATAATAATAAATACTTTCTGGACCCCAGCACTCTCTCTGGAAGTGCTCTTAGCATTCCAATCACCTGAGTTAGCAAGTAAGTATGGAAAGCAAGACTTACTTCCATCACCCCTCCCAAGACCTGGCTGTACAGGCTACAGTTATTTCTGCAACATCAGTGAAGACATGAACCTTGTGGATGGAGAACCTTGGCCGACCCTCAGCATCATTCCATCCCATGCCCAGTTCTGGGGTGGCCACGTGGTCATCCTACAACTTCTGGTGGAACCAGGGAGAAGAGGAGGCCACCGTTCCCGCTGTGATTGCTACTGTAAGGACAGTAAGCCTGAAGCTGGAAAGGCTTACCACATGGAGAGAGCCTGCCTGAGTGAAGCCCAAACAAAGGGAAGCACTGTCGAGAAATGGAGAAAAACAGTCAGCAAAGCTAAGTCTGAAGTTAGCACCACCTGGAGTGTTTTCGGTTAGATGAGCCAATGGGTGTGCAACTCCACCCCCACCAATCTGTTTTCTTTGAATCAATTTGAATTGACTTTGTCCCTTGAATGGAAAGAGTCCTATATCAGTTAAGATGTTTTTAGCTGCAAGTAAAAGAACACCTGACTAAAAACGTCTTGAACAACAGATGTTTATTATCTCATACGACAGGCAGCTCTGAGATAGGGAGCTCCAGGACAATCAATGCCACAAAACAACACTGCAGTCAAGCATCTGGGCTTCCCATCAGTCCCCTTGGCAATCCTTAGCATTCTGGCTTTTGTCTTTGAGCCACAGTGACTGCAACAGAGCTACCAGTGCTCCAGGCATCACATCCTCGTACAACAGCATCAAAGGAAGGGGAATTACTCTTTATCAGAGAGAAAGAATTTTCCAAAACTCGCCACCCAGCACACTTCCCCTTGGTCCCACTGGCCAGAACTAGGTTTCACATTGCCTTGCTGCCTCCACCCCTCTCAACCAATCATTGGCAAAGGAGAGTGGAATTATTTTGAGAGTGAAGACCAATCTTGACTTGGAGGGTCCCATCTTCCTTGAGAACACTGTGGCAAGATAACTGATCAAAATTAGGGTTCTATTTTCTAGAAAGAAGGGGGAAATGACACTTGGTAGGCAATCAACAATGTCTGCTGTAAGTCCTAATACAAGCACTGGCGTTCATCGACCTGCAGTTACCCAAACATTCAAGAGACAGCGAAAACCTTGACATTCCTGACCAAATTATAAGAACCATCATCTTAATTTCCATGTGCGTGATATCTAAATACACACCAATTACAGTTCTTATTCTCAAGAAACTAAAACTGACCACAAAACTGCAAACTCCTAGTAGCGGTTTTTTAAGTCTTTACTGAATGCCCCAGAATACTAGGTATTAGCTATGTAGGTTATTTTCAATGTGCCTCATAGCAGAAAAGGAATGTTAATGAAGGACACTCCTATTCGTAGAGCTCCAAGGCTATCTCATTAGCCAAAGTTGTTAGAATCTATCTGCCAGGATATGCAGCTGAAGAGCCTGCTAAATAGAGAACAGGAATTCTTTGAGTAAAACTGGTCTCCAACTCTTTACTGAAGATCAATACTACCCAGTGGTGTCTCTTCCTTACAATATGGCATCGCCTGGGGGTTATGAGGCTTAAACGAGATGGCAATGTGAAAGCTCACAGGCCAGAACCTGGCACTCAGTAGTGCTGTGAAGTCCAGGGAAAATACAGGAGGGATTGTACCTAAGTAGTAGGACACAGGTGGTGATGGGGGAAGGAGAAGGAACAGTCTGAATGTTCATTTCCAAAGCTAACCTAAACCATTACTTATATTATGAAAGAATTTCTAAATATACTAAACAAGATCGACAAGATAAAGAAAATTAACTTATAAAGTGTCAGTGGTGATAAGAAAAAATTAAATATCATCAGTAGGCAAGTAGAAACTAGTAAAAGTAACTACAATATAACAAAGTGAAGAAGGCTTTAGCTGACCTTAGTAAAACTTTATTAACTATGTCTTAAGCACACCCACCCACTTTAGTCTTGATTTTAATAATTACTGAAAAGTAAGGTCCCTGCTTCTTCCTTCACAAGCCACTGCAATGAACTTGCATGTGAGCTCACACGGGCTATTACACTAATTCATTCTCTCCGAATAAAGGCTAATTATCCTAACAGTTAATTGCCACAGGAAATAAAAAAGAGAAATGCAAGCAAATGGAATGTTCTCTGAAGACTTAAGATCTACTCGGACATTCAAGTGAGCCATTTCTCCTACCTAAACTGTAAAGTGAGAGTCCCTTCTGGCTGTAAAACTCAGTGACTCTATGAATTAAGGGTCAATACTGGCCTTAGTGGAGACAGGTGTCAGCATAGCCTAGTAGCAGAGGTCAGTGCGCCCCAAGGGCAGTTCTAGAAGTAGAAAGGGGCTTCGAGCTGTATAGAGGGGCTTCTAGGTGAGCTTTAGGAGGTCATCACCCCTCTCTGAGCCACAGTGTCCTCATCTGTAAAATGGGATCCTAAGGGATCCACCACCCTTAGGGCAAGTTGCAGTGAGGATTAAGTGAGATCAGGTATGTACTGCATCTCTTGTGGTTCCTGGCACCAGGAAGACACTCAAAAAATGTTAATTACTGTTACTGCTTTTATTATAGAATCACCAATACGCACTTACCTAAAGAAACAACAGCAACGCTCTCTGGCAAGAAATGTAACCTGTATCGGATCAGTAAATGCACCAGTATGATGCAGATAGCTGTGGGGAAAAAATAAGACATTGTTAAAACAGCACAATTTTAAATGATAAACACCAAGTTCAAGGCAATGGTTACCTCTGGGAGGCTGCCAGGGAAACGGACAACTGACAACGACACAGTACACTTCAATTGTATTTTCCATCTCTTATTTCTCAGCCCGGAGGTAGACTCACAGTGTTGATAACATTTTCTCCACACTTCTTTATACGCCTGAACTAGCTTGTTTTCCAGTGGTTACTGAAAGAGCAACAGACGTCTAATTTTTTCCTAAGCTATTAAACCTTAAACAACCATTTAAAATTATTCAAATTTCCCTGATTCTGAGAAATGGTCCTCAACGTTTTTTGAAGTAATCATCAACTGGAAAACTCTAAAGGGTGAGGAAGAGGTCAATGAAATCAATCACTTTTATGTCAACATAACCGCAACAGAATATGTTGACATGAAGTATTTTGCCACCATGTGATTGGTTCTCTTTTAACATAAAGGAAGTGATCGTGTTTTATAAACAGGACAAAGTAAATACTTTGGTTTGGCGATAAGAACATCAAAGACCTAAAGATGGGGCTCCTGCTCCCCAGCTGGGTCCTGGGCTCCCTATGAGCCTGACACTGCACTGAGCACTTCCCAAGCGTGGTCTCATCTAACCCCCAACACCCTCTCTGAACTAACTGTTATCACCGTCACCTCCTTTGACTACAGATGAGAAAACCGAGGCTTAAAGAGGTCACATCACTGGTAGGGGGTGCAGAGTTGAACCTGTTCCCAACCCCGTGCCCTTAATCCTGGGCACCACCATCTCCCTTTTGGCTGCCCTCCTTCCCCCATCTCCAAAGTAGGAATAATGTCTGACTTTCCTCACAAGGGTATTGTCATGAAAGAAAAGAGAGGAAACAAAACTATGTCAAACTATTTGAAAGGAATAAGTATTTCTGGACTGAAAAAAAAAAAGCCTACTTTCACATAAATAATTCCGACATGTAATTTCATGGTCCAAATGCCAGTGCGCATGTCTCTTTCTTTTATTAGGTACCTAGGTGGCACACCATCTCATCAGTCACAGTATTATCTTCCCAACACTAAAAATAATTTTGTTGCTTTTTTTCTGTAAAAGGAAATGTTTAAACAGTCTGCACGGCTGCTAACTGGCCACCCTCAGAGCCCACACTGAGAAATTAGATATCTTTAGTCTCACCAAAAAGTACCAGGTGGCCAGAGAAAGGAAACAGTTGTAAATATAGAAATTTTGTCCTCCTTTCACTCTGCACTCTAAATTATCAATCTGTGGTGTTATTTTATTATAAATATTTAACTTAGTTAGAAAAATCCTACATTAAATACTAAGAGCAAGAGAAAAGTTCCAACGCATAAGCATAACACGTGACCAATGACCATGCCTACTGTCTACAAAGGCAGGCACATGAGCATGTAAGTAGACAGAAATAGATCTAGGGAGTTGATCAGTTCCTGCTTTGTCTTTGCACCAAGCTGGATTAAAAATTAATTTAAAAATTTATTCTCATAAATCAAACAACTATTTGCACCTTAAAGAGCAGAGGGGAAAACTGTCTATCAACAGAGAGAGCTAACTATAAGGCTCATCAATGCCAGGCAAAAGTCTTTAGCCATTAAAAAGAATGAGGTCTGAAAAGACAACCCACAGAATGGGAGAAAATACTTGAAAATCATATATCTGATAAGGGTCTAGTATCCAGAATATATAAAGAACTCTTACAACTCAACAACAAAAAGACAAAGAACACAGTTTAAAAACGGGCAACGGACCTAAACAGACATTTCCCCGAAGATATACAACAGCCAATAAGCACATGAAAAGATGCTCAACATCATTAGTCAAAAGAAAAATGCAGGGGCCGGCCCGGTGGCATAGTGGTTAAGTGTGTACATTCCACTACGGCGGCCTGGGTTTTTGTGGGTTCATGGGTTCGGATCTCAGGCGCGCACTGATGCACTTGTCAAGCCATGCTGTGGCAGCGTCCCATATAAAGTAGAGGAAGATGGGCACAGAAGTTAGCCCAGGGCCAATCTTCCCGGGCAAAAAAAAAGGAGGACTGGCATCAGATGTTAGCTCAGGGCTGATCTTCCTCAAAAAAATTAATTAATTAATTAAAAAAAAGAAAAATGCAAATCAAAACCACAAGATACAACTTCACACCCACTAAGATGGCTATAATTAAAAAACAAGACAAAACAGAAAATAACAAGTATTGGCAAGGATGCAGAGGAACTAGAACCCTTGTGCATTGCTGGTGGGAATGTAAAATGGTGCAGCCTCTGTGGAAAAGTTTGGCAGTTCTTGAGAAAGTTATACATAGAGTAACCATTTAACCCAGCAATTCCACTCCTAGGTATACATCCAAGAGAAATAAAAACATACGTCCACACAAAAACCTGTACACAAATGTTCACAGTAGCACTGTTCACAATAGCCAAAAGGTGGAAACAATCCAAATGTCCATCAGCTGATGAATGGATAAACATAATGTGGTGTATCCACACAATGGAATATTATTCAGCCATAAAAAGGAATGCAATTCTAACACGTTACAACATGGATGAATCTTGAAGACATTATGCTAAGTGAAAGAAGGGAGACATAAAAGGCCCCATATTGTATGACTCCACTTCTATGAAATATTCTAAGTAGGCAAATACCTAGGGACAGAAAGCAGAACAGTGCTTACCAGACACTAGAGGGAGGGGAGAATGTGGAGTGACTGCTTTCAATGAGTCTGGGTTTCCTTTTGGGGTGATGAAAATGTTCTGGAACTAGATAGTGGTGATGGTTGCACATCACTGTGCATGTACTAAATGCCACTGAAGTGTACATTTTAAAATGGTTAAAATGATAAGTTTTACGTTATATTTATTTTACCACATACATATCTTTAAAAAAAAAAAAAAAAGGATGAAGTAGATACAAAAAACAGTAACATGGAAAGATCTCCAAGACATTCTATGAGATGAAAAAGCAAGCTATAGGACCCTATTTATATTAAAACAAACAAAAGCCAAGCTATATGTGCCTGTACGTGTGCACGTGCTTATGAATATACGTATGTATATATACATACAAGTACATGTCTTTAAGTACAATTGGGAAAAAACAGAGCAAGAAGGGACAAAACTTCTGTGTGGTATAGAGGATATGTATGCCACAAGTTAATGTGCTTCCAATTTTTCACGCCTGAAGTATCAATTATGGAAACTATATTAACACAGAGACATGTCAATTTTAATAACACCATTAAATTTAATGGTCTATAAAATGTATGTGTCAAGTGATGCTGTTAACTCCAGTGTAAGTCAGTAACAAGGACTCACCATTGTTTCTGCAGTCAAAGGTCTGCAAGAGTTAACTGTCAGTCAGCTGATTTCAAGCTCCTAAAAGTCAAAAGTTTAACTCAAGTCTTGTCACCCCTTCTCAACAACGGGGAGCACACTGTAATCCTCTGTAACTTGACTAAAATAGGACACAAAAGTGGTAAATGTGTTCCAGGTTAGGAGTTCCTGAAGTCTAGAATAATCTATGGGCTAATTTCCCTCAATTCACTATAGTTCATGTATTTAGTGAGTTAGCAAGTTACCTATTAACAGTAACTTTTTTTTACTTTATCAGATTTACATTGTTTGGACCATCTAATCAGGAATAAATATACAAGGTACATAATATCTTGTTGATAATATACAAGAAGAGAGGAAAAAATGCCTTCAAATTTACTTAAAAAGAAGGCATTCCAGGGTGAGTCCCAGTGGCCTAGCGGTTAAGTCTGGCACATTCCACTTCTGCGGCCTGGGTTTGCTTCCTGGGTGTGGACCTACACCACTCGTCTGTCAGTGGCCATGCTGTGGCGGGGCTCACAGACAAAAAAGAGGAAGATTGGCAGCCGACGTTAGCTTAAGGCAAATCTTCCTCAGCAAAAAAAAAAAAAAGAAAAGAAAGAAAGCATTCCACTCTGTTAACACATGCTGACTTATACATAAAAAGTGGATACCAACTCAGAAACTGCCAACAACCTGATGGGTGAAAACAGAACCCACCTGACATTAGTACAGCTCTAAAGTCTAGGTTTATGATCTATCTGAAGAGAAGACAATCCAAGAGAAATATACAGCACTATTAATTACAGTTCAGCCCTTTCTGGCCCCAAAGATGTATTAACACTGGGCAGGATTTTGCCTGGATTATAAAAACCTGTTTTGTGGTCTCTGGCACAGGCTAAGGTTAAATGCTCCACACCCTGAAAATTACTTTGAAAGTCTTACTTATTCTTTTCACCCTCCCATGAAAATAGCGATTACAAAAGTTTTTCCAGGCCTGCCTTTTATATTCTCTAACATATCAAGCTGACAACAATGTAAAGAGACTAATAATACTCCTTCAGGATTAAGAATTCAGGTACTAAAGATTTCTTGATCAAGAAAAAAATTGCTTTTCTTCTTTGTATTCAACTACTGTAACAAAAGAAAACGAAAACAAAACAAAACAAAGAGTCCTTGACTGTTGAAGTAATCTCCTAGAAATAGAATTCAACTACATAAAAGGGTAAAAAATTACCTGGGCATTACATCTACATGAGAAATTGTACACTTGTGGTTTGTGTACTTTTTCAGTATTAAATTTAAAAGTTTTAAAAAATCTATGAGAAACAAAGATGACTCCTGGATTTTAAATAAAATTATTATTAAAATTATTTGACCATTAACTGAATCTGAATAGAAATGTGAAAGAAGTTATGCTTTTCCTCAAAAAAAAAAAAACCAAACCAAAACAGTCCTAATAGACATCAGAAAAATACTCTGCACCTTTTCCCCTCTTCCTCAGCCCCAGCTCTCTGCACCTTTCACTCTTCTGAAAAGCTCTAATCTCATTAGAAATAAGTCTTAGTATCGTTAAAGAAGAGCAGAGAATGTAAACGTGCCAAGCTTGCTTTTCAACTAAAACTTCGGACTTGGGTCAAATTCTAAACTATTTCTTCCTCAGCTAACCCAAAGTAGCTGCAGTTTCAACTGGATTTTTTCATCTAAAACAGCTGTCAACTGTCCACAGTCTCTGGGAGGCATCTAAGTTATCGCCTTTTATCTAAATTTCTTGACTGATGTCTGCCAACCTGAGTATTAGTCTTTAGTCTAATACCAAACCAGGTATGTCAATTGCTTAACCTCTCTGGGCCTAAACTTCCTCACCCGTTAAAGAAGGAGGTTGAACAAAATGAGATTTTAAGGTTGAGAGAGTGAATCCGTTTAAAGAAAAATATTACATAAATAAACAACAGCACAGGTATACACAGATATGGCAGAAGTCACAACCATGGTTAATGGAAAGGACAGAGGTTAAGGAAAACTGTGCTAGGGCAAGGGTATCTGATCTTTTACACAGCAGCAAAACCTTTACATAAAATTTTACATGGAAGCCTAACAGATATGACAAAATGCTGCTCTGGTCATAATGCTGCTCTGGTCATAAAGCTGGATGCCCTTCCCTTGACCCCCCCCACCTACTGCTACCACCACCTACACACACACACACACACACACACACAGACTCTCATGAGCTGACTTTGAAATCCACTAAACTAGAAGATATTCAAGGTTCTTTCTAGGTCAAAAATTCTTTAATTCTTTCTTCCAGAGGACGTCTAAGATATTACATTAAGGGCACTACAGAATTGCTAAGCTCTACAATTTTATAAAGCAAAAGTTTTATATGTTTTGATGTTATCATATATGTTATGATGTTATGAACTGATCACTGTCCCTCAGTGTTTGAAGTGAGACCCAAATGGGAGGAAGACCTGACTAAGGAAACACTGGTTTAAACGGGGTGAGCCACACAGACGGTGCACCCGGACGCTCAAGATGGCAGACTATGGTGTCTCCACATTCACCTAGGACGAGGAGGCTGAAGAAGATGGTCATGCCATTTGACTGCTCCTCCTGCTGAGCCTGCTCCCCCGTCTGCACGGGGAGGATGGGCTTGGCAGGGGTCGGGAGCACCAGTCTCGTAGTGACAACCAGGGTAGTGTGGAGGGTGACATTGAAACCTTCATGAGTTGTGTTGGGGAACCTGTTGGAGAACATAAAAAGCAGAATTAGATAAAGGAAAAACGGCCCTGAAGCATCAACACACACACACACACCCGCCCCCCAGAAAGAGAACCTGGGACAGAAGTTTATGCGAGTCACGAGTCTTGCAACCAAAAGGCAGGCTTTCCAAACTGATTAAGAAAATTCCTGCCTGCTGCAGCAGGAGGGTACCAGTGGCCTCAGATGCTTCTGAATACAGCCACTTAGGGGACAGGAACAAGGGGGAATCAGCGCTGGTGTAGAAACAGAATGCCACCTGCTCTCTGGCACTTAATGGGGGATTTAAATGGAGGTAAACTGGACTCTCATCACATTGTAAGGAACAATATTATTTCCTGGCGCCTTTATTTCTCCAGTTGACACTGTTTTCCTTGGATTATTATCTGCAAGTTGAAGAAAACACCTGAATTCGCCCAATTGTTGATCTGGTTGGAAGGCCCCACCCTACTTTACAAAACCCTTCTCAGATTCCAAAGGCTCAAATGTAACCACCTCTGTGACGCCCCCCTCCACCCTACTGCTTATGTTCCTCACAGCTCTCCTCACATTGTGTTAGGGCTGTAAACCTGTGCAATACTCATACAATAATCATTGTAATTATGATTATAACAGCTAATGTTTATTGACTACTGCTTCATTCCAGGTACTAGGTAACACACACCCTCTCACTGAATAGACACAACATGCCCAAGGTGGGTACTATTACTTTCCCTTTTTTACCCTAGAAGAACTGAGGCTCAGAGAGGCTGCATAACTTGGCCAATATCTCAGACGGTTCCGTGGCAGAGCCAAACTTTGAGACCAAACTTGAAATCACTGGGCTATATCACCTCTTTTTGCTTTGTGCTGCTGAGGCCCCATTTAGCGTCTGGGACAGCACAGACACTTAATAAATAAGTGGACTAAATGAAATGACCACCCAGAGAAAAGACATAACCGTAAAACTGGCAGGTGAACGAGTCAAATTTCAACCATAGGGTTCCTTGTTAACTTTTACATACTCATTCCAGGAACACAGATAGGGCATCTATAATATGCAGCAGACTGTGCCCTGCAGGTATGGAGATGGCTGTCTACACTCCACCTAGCCTGCCTTTCTTCCTGTCCCTCAAAGGCACTAAGCTCCTTCTTGCTTCTGGCCTTGTGCACTTGCTGTTCCCTCTCCTATCCCTCCTTCCGGTTATTAAAGTTTCAGCTGGCATGTCACATCCTCCTGAGCAGACTCCCCCACCCCAACACTATTCCATTTCCTTCAGAGCACTGAAGTCGTCTTGTCTATTTATGTTCTTCTTTTCCACTAGAACGGAAGCTCCCTGAGGGCGGCTCCTGGTCTGCCTCCTTCACTACTACGTGCCCAGGGCCTGAAATAGAGTGGATGGCCAACCGTTATGAGTGAACGAAACTCAGTGGACGACACAGAAGCGAAAACCGATCGTTACAGTGGAGGAGGCGACTGGCTAAGTAGGAAGGGGGGACTTCCTGGAGGAGCTGGTGGAGCGTTCCGTAATCACCAGATGACCGAAAACTGGGAAAGTGCAATTTGGGTTGCGGTTTCCGCAAGATGGCTTTCGAAGCCCGCCCTGGGCGGCCAATCCCCAGCCTGAGGGTCCGACCTCACGGCGGCTGCAGGGCCCCGCTGGGCCCAGGCCCGTCCCTCCCGCCCTCCTCGCGGCGCCGGCATGGTCAGTCCTGACCAACCGGCACAAGGAGCTCCGCCTTCCGGGGCCGGAGGGCGGCCTGAGGCGCTCGCTGTCACCCGGAGCCCAGCCCTGCCGCCTCCGCCGCCCCGGAAAAGCCCACTCACTCCTCCTCTGCCATCTTCTGCCCCATCCTGCGGAGCCTCCAAGACCACCGAGTTCGGAGCCGGGGGCTAGCAAGGCCCGCTTTCGCTTCCGGCTTCCGCTGGAGGCGCGGGCGCGCGGCGGGCGAGCGGGGGGCGGGGCCTCGGCCACGCGAGGGCGATCCCTCTGTCTCTTCGTCTCTATGGTGCGAGGGTGGGAGGAGGCGCGTGGGAGGACCCTAAGGGCAATTTCGGGACTCGCGTCCAGCTTGGGCTTTATGACCCTCGTCATCTTCTGGCTTTTCCCCTCCCACAGGGCAGGGAGATTTAGGGGAAAACTTGTGTGAGGTCACTGTGACTCACCCTGAAGGCAAGGCTCTCTCCACCCAGGTTACAGGACTTCAGCTTGCTAAAAGGGAAGGAAGCTTCTAGCCTAGGCTGTGCAGAGGGACCCCGGGGGGGACACTTTCTCAGCCTGAGCCTCAATTTTCCTCAGCTGTAAAGAGGACTAACCACCTGGGTTTTGCAGAATTATTCAGTATCGTATCTGTAAACATTTATTGAGCTCTGACTATACGCCTATCGTTAAGATAGGCGATGATGATCTAGGGCTGGATTATTAATTCATCACAAATTCATTAATTTGTTCATGGAGTCAGCAGATACTCACTAAACGCCTATACGTGGCTAGCAGTGGTCTGTGGGGTTGGGGATACAGGAAGGCACGAGGTGAGGTTGGAAGGGTAGGAGGGATCTCCTCAGGAGGGCTGGTACCCTATTGTGCGGCCTTCGGATTTGACACCGCCTCTGCTGCTACCTCCCTCCCTGGTCCAAGCCGTCATATCTCGTAAGAGCTGTGATAGCTGCCTAAACAGCCTTTCTGACTCTGCCGTTGTTCCTGTGGTCTTCCACACAGCGGCCCAGGGATCTTTTAAAACTCCAGTTCCTCCTCTGCTCAGAACCTCCACCTGCTTCCAATCTCAATCAGAGGAAAAAAAACTTCGAGAACCTACAGGACTCAACCTTGCCCCCTTTACCCTTCTGAGTTCATCCCCGTTCCCCCTCCTACACACTTTCCACTATGGTCACAGTGGCTTCCTGCATGTGCCTGAAACCCACCAGGAACAGGTCCAGCCCTGCACTTGCTGAGCCCTTTGTCTAGAATACTCCGCTTCTAGGTTGCCCCCTGGCTCCCACCTTTCCTACTTTTGGGCTTTTTGTTTAACCCTTATTTTGTCCATTACACCTTCCGTGACCACCCTGTTTAAAATCCAAGCCCCCTCCCCTTCCCTGAGTGATTTTTCTCCATAACACCTAACATATTATATATTTTACTTACGTATTTGTTTATTGTCCTTCTCCCTCCAGGAGAATGTAAACTCCCTGAATGCAGAGGTTTTTGTTTCTTTTTTTTCTGTTTTTGTCTCCAATGCCTAGAACAGTACCGGCACGTAATAAGTACTCAATAATAAATGATCATTGAATAAATAAAGACATCAATTAACTCTAGATGTGTTAGGAAACAGAAGAGTTTCGAAAAGAGGAGTGCTGTGACCTGACTTTTATCAGGACCCCTTTGACTGCTTGTGGAGGCTTGAGAGGATCGGGTGGGGCAAGGGTGGAAGCCCTCAGACCAGCTAGGAGGCCTTTGCAATAATCTAGGCAAGAGCTGATGGCTCTTTGGATTAAGGTGATACCATGGAGATGGCAAGGATAGTTGGACTCTGGGTGCACACTGAAGGCAGGATTTGCTGATGGACTGTGGCATGGAAAAGAAAGAGAGGAGTCAAGCTTGACTCAGGGTCTTGGCCCTGAGGAACTGGGCCGAGGAGAGATCTGTCTGGCTCAAACCCGGAATCCTCTGCCATTCCAAGACCTCTTAGGACTGTAGTCAAAGCTAACTGAGAGAATGCGCTTAGGATCAGCCAGTGTTTATTGAGTCCTTCTTGTGGGAGTGGGGCTGGGCTATTGTTTCCTTAATTCCTTACATCTCTTTGAGGCAGATACTATATAATCTGTAAACTGAAGCACAGAGAAGTCAAGCCACTTGCCTGAAGTCACACAGCTGGCAAATGTTGAGGCTGGACTTCAGGCACAGAGTCTGTGTTTTTAACCAGTACCCCCTGTTGCTCTCCACTGCCTTAATTTCTCGGGCTGTAAAATGGGGCTAACAGCCTACTTTCCTGTGTTAGTACAGAGCCTGGGAGGAGTGAACTGGACCATAAAGGATTGAGAGGTGTGTTCTCTCTGAGCCACACTTAGTGACTGAGAGCTTGAGTCTGTCATTCTTCTTCCAGCCCCAGACAACCCTACCTGGGCTGGGGGCAGGCCCCTGGCATCAGGCTGCAGGCTGTGGGCCAGTCAGGATGGAAGCAGAGCCCTGAAGTCACCAAGGGCCCCCGCATTCTCCCCGCTGTCTGGCCCACTGCCCTGGCCACAGATCCTATCGTCAGGGCCAGGTTCCGGCTCTGTGGCGTTGTGGGCCTGCTGCCAAGCAGGAGACCGCACTACACCTGCTGTCAGGCCTGGGAGCAGAGCCCAGGCCCTTCTCACCTGTTCTTGGGGAGGAATCTAAAATTCCTGGTCATTGCCCTCAGGAAGGCGAATAAAGCCATTCAACATGCAGTTCCTGGGCTCCCGCACCCTGCAAGGCAGAGAAGGGGCTGGCACAGGGCAGCAGGCTCTGGTGCCAGGCAGTTCTGGCTCCCTATCTCAACTCAGGACCTCTGGGACACCACAGCACGCTTAGAGCCTCAGAGCCCCATCACAGAGGCCCTGTTTGGAAGGCTGTTGTAGGATTAGAGAGAAAGCTCTTGCCTTTGTTCTCTGTTCTCTCTGCTCTCCTACCTCCAATCTTCCTCTTTCTCGCCATTCAGGTCTCAGCTTAAATGTCACCTCTTCAGGGAGGCCCTCCCTGACCACTCAGTCTACAGCAGGGGTCGGCAAACTTTTTCCATAATGAGCCAGACGGTAATATTTTAGGCTTTGGGGGTCTTCTGATTTCTCTCGCGATAACTCAGCCCTGCTGTTGCAGTGGGAGGGCAGCTGTAGACGATTTAAATAGGCATGGCTGTGTGCCAATAAAACTTTATGCATATTGAAATTTGAATTTCTTATCATTTTCACAGGTCACACAACATTCTTTTGATTTTTTTTCAACCATTTAAAAATGTGGAAACCATTCTTAGCTCACAGGCCATATGAAAGCAGCTGACAGGCTGGATTTGGCCCTCCGGCTGCCAACCGTTGGTCTAAAGTCTTAAACCTAAGTGTCTCTGAGGCATTTATCACTATCAGATATTTTCTGCCTTCTTCCCTACTTTCCTTTCTTCCTGAGTTTATCATCCATTGCCCACTCTAGGGTATAAGCTCCCTGAAACCAGAGAGCTTGTCTTTCTCCTGTCTTTCGTCTGTCCTTTATCCCTTCTAACATTTCTAGAACACTTACTCTACACCAGACATTATTCCGAGCGCATTATGCTCAGTAGCTTATTTAATCCTTATAATAACCCTATGAAGTGCTCTGATTGGCCCAGTTTTACAGATGTGGAAACTTGATGTCTTATTCATCACTCTTTTCCCAGAGCTTAGAAAATGCCGAAGTTGTCAACAAAACAGGGGCACTAACAAAAACTTTTTAATGAATGTGATATTTCATATATTTTTTAAGAGGGAATCAAAGTGGTTACCAGGTATATCAGTCAAGGTTCAATCAGAGAAGCAGAACCAGTAGGAGTTATATTTTAATAGATTTATTGCAAGGAATTGGCCTGAAATAGAAATTTATTACCTTACAGTTCTGTAGGTTAGAAGTGTCAGGGAGCTAAAATCAAAGTGTCATCAAGGCTGTATGCGTTCCTCCTGGAGGCTCTAGGAAAGAATCTGTTTTCTTGTATTTTCCAGCTTCTAGAGGCCACCACACTCCATGGCTTGTGGTCCTATCCTCCCTCTTCAAAGCCAACGATGGCATTACTCCAGCCTCAGCTCTGGTCATCACATCTTCTCGACTCGGACTCTCCTTCCTTCTTTCCTTTGTAGGGAGCCTTGTGATTATATTGAGCCCACCTGGGAAATCCAGAATGAGCTCCCCATCTCAAGGTCAACTGATTAGCAACCTTAATTCCTCCTTGTCATGTAACATAACACATTCACAGCGTCCAGGGATTAGCATGCGGGCATCTTTGCAGGGGCCATTATTCTGTCTACTACACCATGGGAAAAATAAGATCTGTGTTGGCCTTCCCTTTATTTATTTTTACCATTTAGTATTGTTTCATATAGAGTTACATATGGCAGAGAGTTAGGCATAATTTTTCAATGCCTGTGGACTTCAATGTTTTAATGTGGCCCTGGCCACTTAGTAGGTAACAGGCACTAGAATTACTAGGCAGAAATGAAAAAGTTGGGCTGTAGAATTCAGTGGAGTCAGATGCAACAGACACATCTGAAAGAGTTTGTAAAAAAATACAGATTCCAGTCCTATCATAGACCTACTGGATCTTGGGTGTGGGACCTGGGAATCTGAATTTCTTCTTGGCTCTCTCCTATAGCAGACTGTGCTGGTGCCTGCTCATGACCTCATGGAGAGTCCTACTACAGCCTAAGGGCTTCCTCTCAGCACAGCACAAGCCAGCTGTGCTGGGGAGTTAATGCTCCCACAACAGCCCTCAACCGATGACCGTGCAAATAGGAGGATAAATACCCCTACTCCCTCACCCCTTGGGTGGGCGAGTCTGAGGTGCATGTTCTCAACAGTTTCCCAGAGCTCCCCAGTGGGGTTAAGCTCCAGCTGTCCACAGTGGTGACCCGCATGACAACACATCTATATATTCTCTTTCTTTCCTTCTTGGCTGATATAAACATCCAGCAGTAAGACTTTGTTTTGAAAATCTGCTTTGAGGATATCTCAAGAGTTTTGACCCATGATGCTCTCATTACAGTTTCTACTTTGAGACAGGATTTACTAAGGGAATGTTTTAGAATTTTTTGCTTATTTAGTGTTTATGTAAATTTTGTTATTCATTTCTAATTTTATTATATTTTTACCAGGTAATGTATACTAACATTTTTCTACTTTTATGACTTCACAGAGGTTTACTCCATTGTCTGATTCATGAATAATTTTTGTAAAGTACAGG